AAAAAAAAAAAAAGAAAAGACAATGTAAAACTGGGAGGAAATGTTAGAAATACATGCAAACAAAAACCAAGTGTTAGGAATATTATAAATGCTACAAATAACCAAGAAATACCAACAGAAAGTGGGAAAAGTACCTGAAGCATTTCACAGAAAAAAAAAAAAATGGCCAATGAAAACATGAAGATATAGTAAACATCAGTGATTACATAAGTGTAAAATTTACCACACAGGTGTGCCTTTTTAAAACCCATTTGATAATTTATTAGCGAAATAATGAGTTAAAAATATTGAGTATTAGAGAAGACATAAATCCAAAATATTTTCTATAAATAACTGAAGATGGTGGATAGAAGGGTATAAACTGTCACCGTGACTCTAGGGGAAAGATTTATAGATCTGAAGAGAAACCAGAGTATCACAATGACTTTAGAAAACAGTTTACTATCTGGCCATTTGGGATATTAACATATCGTATGTTCCAACAATTCCATGGTTTGGTACATAAAGAAAATCTGGGACATCTATAATAATCAACACACACAATAATGTCCATGGACAAAGTATTTAAATTATAAAACCATAGGAACAATCTAAATGTCCACTGACCATAAACTGCATGAGGACACTATGGTATATTCACACATAGAGATATTATTTTACAATAAAAAGAAATAAACTATGATAACCATAACAGAATGAATAAAACTTAGAACTATACTCTTCTGTCAAAAGAAAATCCCAAAAGATTGCACACAGTGTATTTGATATAAGGTTCAAAACAAGGTAAATTTAAAATCAGAATTCATATAAAATTAACTACTCCATATTTGCTTCAGTGGCACGTATACTAAAATTGGAACAACACAGAGAAGATTAGTATGACTCCTACAAAAGGATGACATGCAAATTTGTGAAGTGTTCCATACTTTTCAGATCTTGAAGACACCATTGTAGCTAGTGAAATGGTAAGAGAAGATCTCTTAAAAACAACTGCGGTGCAGGAAAAAATAATTCACCATCTGCAGGATGATACAAAGATGAACAATGTAAGAGTAATAGGCATCAGTGAGAAAGAAGGAGTCAATACAAACGATGTAAAAAGAATATGAGCAGAAGTAATAACAGAAAACTTCCCAAATATGAGGAAACGATCTGACATTCAAGTAACCGAAGCATACAGAATTCCAAATAACATCAACTCAATTAAGAACACACACAGACATATAATAATCATGATCCCAGAAATCTAGCACAAGAAAAAAATACAGAAAGCTGCTAGAGGAAAGAAACAGATCACATTTAAAGGAAAACCCGTCAGAATAATGGAAGATGAGTCTACACAAAACATCAAGTCAAGAAGAGCATGGAGCAAAGTACTTCAAGTCCTCTAAGAAAACAAATACCAGCCCAGACTGCTACCTTGCAAAACTCTCTTTCAAGTTTAATGAAGAAGTGAAATACTTCCACGACAAAAAACAACTAAAGAACTTCATGACGACAAAGCCAACCCTACACAGACTACTAAAAGATATTCTAGAGAGGGACCAAAACGACCACAACTCGATGAATGAGTATGGAAAGAACCTACTAAATAGAGCAAACAATTAAAAACAGGAGAAAAATGGGTATACAACAGCAGCTAAATAACATATAAATCCTTAGTCAATACATCTCAATTATAACAATCAATGTAAATGGACTCAATTCACCAATTTAAAGAAATAGACTGATACAGTGGATTAGGAAGCAAAATCCAACAATATGCTGTATACAAGAAACACACTTAACTCATAAGTAAATTCACAGGCTGAAAGTCAAAGGATGGAAAACAATACTACATGCCCTAGCACCTCAGAAAAAAGCAGGGGTGGTAGGGCATGCAACATTGTTTTCCATCCTGTTTAAAGACAGTCTGAATTTCAAACCAAGAATGGCCAAACAAAACAAAGAAAGTCACTATATACTGGTGAGGGGAAAAATTCAAAAGGAAGAGGTAACACTCATAAATGTATACGCACCAAACACGGGAGCACCCAACTATATAAGACAAATCTTAATGGACATGAAAACTCTAATATACAATACCACAATCTTAACAGGAGACCTTAACGCCCCCTTATTCAAAAAAGATAGGTCCAGCAGACAAAAAATTAGCAAAGTAGCAGAACTGAACCAGAACTTGGAACAAATGGACTTAGTGGACATATACACAGTGTTCCATTCAATTACATCTGAATACACATTTTTTTCAGCTGCACATGGGACATTTTCTAAAATACACCACATATTAGTCCATAAGTCATGCTTAAGTATATGCAAAAAACCCAGAAATTATCCCATGCATATTACCTGACCACAGTGCAATGAAACTGGAAGCAAATGACAAAAGAAATCACAAAACCCCCATAAATACATGGAAATTAAACAAAACTCTCCTCAGCAACCAATGGTTATGAATGAAATTAAACAAGAAATTTAAAAAAGTCTACAATTCAATGAAAATTCAAGCACAACTTATTGGAATATATGGGATACGCTGAAAGCAGTGCTTAGAGGGAAACATAGCTGTGAACGCACACATTAGGAGAACAGAATGGGAACAAATAAATACCCCAATGCTGCACCTCAAATGTCTAGAAAAAGAAGAGCAAACCAAACTCAAAGTCCAAAAATGAGAGGGAACTATAAAGATTAGAGCAGAAATTAATGCAACCAAGACAAAGAAAACAATACAAAGAATTAATGAATCAAAAAGCTGTTGCTTTGAAAGATTAAATAAAATTGATAACCCCCTAGCTAACCTTATCAAGAAAAGGAAAGAAAAAACTCAACTTCAAGCAATAAGGAATGAAAAGGGTGCAATTACCATAGGAGCTGTGGAAATTCAGATCATCAATAGCTATTTTTAGAACTTTTACTCTCACAGAATAGAAGACACAGAAGAAATGGACAGATTCCTAGAAAGGTACATATTACTATAACTGAATCAAGAAAATATAAGAACTCTCAATAACCCAATAAAAGCCAATGAAATACAAAACATAATTTAAAAAAAAAAACCTACCAACAAAGAAAAGTCCAGGTCCTAATGAATTCACAACTGAATTCTATAAGAAATTTACAGAAGATATAATCCCAATACTCCTCAAACTCTTCAGTGAAATTGAAAAGAACACAATTTTCCAAAAATCATTCCTGAAGGCAAGTATTATACTGATACCAAAGCTATGGAAAGATGCAACTAAAAAAGAGAA